ATTGCAGAGAATTCACTTGCGCACCAAATTGTATAATCTCCATGAGAAAGCACCATTCCCAATGCCGCGTGTCAGTCAGAGGGGTATAAAGCTCTCTGGAGTGATGGAGCACTGGCGAATATCCTTGGGAGGAGTTGGAGTGGTGCTTGTGATCCAGAACTAATCATCTAATACCAGTACCTAAACTCACTAATGCTCTCGTGGCTTGTTGCAGTCAAATCCTTACAACAATGTTTTATCATCTAGTTTAAAGTCTTTCCAGAAGAGTAGAGGCTGTTACTGCAACTCCTCATTAATTTACTTGATTTTAGAAGAAGCACTGAATAGGTGGATATATAATGTGTGCTACATGCATTTTTGCAACAAGACTGTTCTTCATTGTTGTTTCCTTTGGGTTCTCTTTTAGGGACGGAGTTCTCCATAGATGACCAGTGTGTGGTGAGCTTGCTGAAGGGTCTGTGTCTTAAACACCTAGGCCATCAGGAGGAGGCTGAACACTACTTCACTCTGGTCCTCTGCAAGTGAGTTGTTCTGCCCCTTTACCAACTCTTTAGTCTCAGTCTTAATTGTTGATAACAAAAGCATGGTGTGATAGGATATTAGTCGTTTCTCATCTATAGGTCAGTGAAATGATCAGTGAAAAATATGCAGATTTGAAACTTTCACTTGACATTGTGCGAAAAGAAAAATTTATAACCTCAACTTTTGCCACTTCTTTTTGTTTATTGGCACTGAATTAAAAGGAAGTGCAGTCACAATTGAAACGAAGTCAGAAATGCAGACACTAACCTGTCAGTACAGCTGAAATCAAATCCTGTTGTAGGCTGACTAGTGCGATGACTAGTTTGAAGTTTAGGAACACGGAAGTACATTTTCTTCTGCTCATAAAAGGAGGTTATGCTGGTCCCTGGGAGCTCCCTGGGGTGGAATTCCCCAGATCTTCTATGTAAATGAAATAAAACAAAGACAAATATACATGTTTCCAGGTTGGAGAACACTGGAAATGGAGTCCAGTGAGGACCTCTTATGCCTGTACCAGGAAATTACTATTGAGAACATTTTGTCTTATCTTTCTCTCTCTCTTTTACCTTCCAGTGAGACGCAGATTAAGTTTGACCACTACCTTGTGCCTAACGCTCTGCTGGAGCATGGTTTGTTGTGTCTGGAGCAGGGCAGGAGAGAGGAGGCCATCAAGTTACTGGAGATGGCTAAGTAAGACTCGATTCCATTACACCTTCCATAATACATCATTGGCAATACACAATGAGCTGCCAGTTTATTAGGTGATAATTTTTTAATAAGCCGTGGCAATGAATCAATATATTGAGGTCATGAGTTAAGATTCTTGTAGACCCAAATTAATATATTGAGACCACATGGCCATGAGAAACTTAACTTGTGGCTTCAATATAATAGTTCACGCCCATGCTTAATTAAAAAATAATCACCATGTCACCTTAAAGCCTCCATAATTAGGTACACTACTACCTGCACACAAATTGTACACCCCAGAAGTCATATGCCAAGTGACTGTGGTCTGCAATATAAATCAGATACAAGAAATCAGATACAACTGCAGATGTATGGCGTGTCATGTGGTAGGGGGGAAGTGTCTGTGGTATGTGTGTCAGTAGAAACTGTGTTTCTAGCATAACTTGAGCTTGTTTAGTTGAGTGTTGGAATAGGCAAAAAAATTAACTTAGTCACTTTGAACATTTTGCACTAGGCATGCTGGTTCATTTTCCAAACAGCTGTCATCCTGGTCTGTTCAAACGTTACCATTTCAATAGTTGACCAAAAAAAAAAGAAAAATACTATGAGTGATCGGCAGTTTTTAATGGACAAAACAGAGGGGTCAAAAGAGAATGGGCAGAATTATGCAAGCAAACAACGAAGAACAAGAAAGCAGACTGGTCACAGTAGCTTCAAAACTAGAACACTAAGAGATAAAAGACCTAAAACCTGCCTGGTTGGACAATTCCAGGTTCCTTTTGTATCATGCCAATTGAAGGATCAGGATTTGGCTCAACCAACAAGCGTCCATATAGCCATCCTGTTTAGTATTAGCAGTCAGGTAAGTGGTGTGGGGAATGTTTTCTTGGCACATCATGTCACTATTCATTTTAAGCAATTATTTGCCTGTAAATGATTCTAATTCTGATATATGCTTGCTTAGATTTTACAGACCTCTAATTATATGCAGATATTTGGCAGAAAAAAGATTGCAAAGCAGCATGTTCTTGTGCTAAATTTTGAACAATCTACCTGAGCTACAAACTGAGCTACGAAAACAGATCAGAATCTACCCAGATGCCTAGTTTTGATCACTGGCAGTGACAGTTCATAGAAAATGGCATATGAGAGATGCTTGAAAGAGACTAAGGGGCATATCAGCGATGCAGTTTTAAATGTTGATTTTTTAAAATTTTTCAGTTATGGTATTGAAATTGTTACATTCCTGTAGATATGTGTGCATAATAAACTGGCAGCTCAATGTATCGGTTAACCCATTTTATATTGAGTACAGATTGCACACACCATGACACATGCCACAGAAACTTCCTCCTTACCACATGACACGTCATACAGCTGCAGTTCATGAAAACATTATAGAGTGGAACATCTGACAGTACAATTGTAGTACATAGTTTGTGCACACCATTCTGGTCTAAGTCCTGTTCCTCTGCTCCACAGGCAGAACTATAAGAACTACTCCATGGAGTCACGGACGCATTTCCGGATCCAGGCGGCGCTACACAAAGCACGAGCCACAGAGCAGAACGGAGAGAACTCACTCTCAAGCCCCTAACAGCCAGTGACACAGCAGGGGTCAGAGAGGTCACAGGGTCAACACACGCCATGCTCATGCCTTCAGAGCGAGGAGGGGCCTCAGGAGGGCAGAAAACCAAACAAACACCACCAGAACTGTCAGAGGAGCTGGACTAAGTTTCTGACGCTAAATGAGAGAATCCTTGTTCCATCAGATACACGTTCACCCCCATACATGGAACCACAGGTGCATGCACAGATGTGAGGAGAAGACCATAGAACTAATATAACCCAATATATTGTTCTGATACAAAATACTTGTACTCTAAGCTTATAATAATGTTTCACACATGTCAGCTGAGGGTATCTGTAAGTCTGTTTTCATCTCAGTTATGCCCTCTGACCCTCTACACTATGGCCAACTTGTGACAGCAGCAAACTGGCCATGATCTTTGAAAAATGGTGTTTTCTTTTGAAATAGGTTTAACCGTTATGCTCAAACTGTTCTTTTTGGAGGGAAAGTGAAACAGGTCAAAAGTAAAGTTATGTGCCAGAGGTCAGGCAATAAAAGTGCATAAGGAAATCGCATTGGAAATATTGGTTAAATAATGTAACATTGATTCTACTGTGTTCCCCTGATAGAAGGTGTGCATAGCCATTTTTTTTTACCACTTCAAAAATCTCCCGCTTTTCTGAGGCCCAGTGGCAGCCTTACCCCTCTCCTCTCTGTGTAAGCTGTGATGCCGTCACAAACTTATTAACTATGTAAATTTAAAACTGGGAGTATGTGGGTTTATTTAGTTCCTTCTTTTTAGTATTTATTTTCTGTGGCGTCGGCTTTGTGAAATTGTCCCATTTTAAGTGGACAGCTGAATGTGTCTTTTAGAAAGGCAGTCTCCTTCATGTGGACTTGATCCAGATAGTACTTGAGCTCAAACAAACAAGTCTTTCAGATCGAAGCAGAGCAGCCATGGCTGTCTGCTCCAGCCATGGTGAGAGATGCATTGACTACCACTATAGCCTTATACTAAAATAAAGAGAGATAAAAAGGACTTGAAATTTGTTTTTTTTTTGTTTTTTTTTTTCAATTTATGAATGTTAGTTTTTGGGCCTTTGGCCTGTAAGGGCCTTGATCACATGAACACCATAGCAATACTACAAACCTCTCAAATGCAGTCTCTATACATATAATATTAATGTTAAATCCCAAAGGTGTGCTTACATTACTGCTTTATTGAATAATTATTATTTCCCTATGTACTTTATGTCCTAGAGCAATGCTAGCTCTTTATAGCCTGCTATCACCATTCCACCAAAGTCAAAGCTGAGCCAAAATAATAATCAAATCTTAGTGTTGTAGCACTGAAAATACCTGGTAACATTTTGACTATCTTGCAATTCAGAAGTTGCTGTATCTGGTTAAGATGCAGAGCTTTAGGATAAAATACTTAGGTTTGATATGAAGGACTTCAATGGCTGTACATTCAACCTGCTGAAACTGATTCTTTTCACAAAGGTGGTGGAACATAAATTTGATTAAAAATTAATGAACTGTATAAAGTCTGAGGTTTTGAATAATAATGTCTTCCCTGTTCTAAAATGTTTTCCATTGGGCTACAAAGCTCAGAAACCTTTCTGTGGTGTGTGGCTACTGTACAGGGTTGGGTTTCCCGAAAGCATCTTAGGACACAGATGATTTTTAAATGGTAGACCGAGCATCACATTAAACACTCTCTCTACCATTAACGCCAAGATACCTTTAGGAAACTGGGCCATGATCAGCATTCCTGAGAATACTGAATGTTTGTTTTGTAATTTAAGATTAAATGACATCATTACCTTCCTCCACATCTCTTTGTCATTGCTGTCAACAGGGAGCTTGTGTATTAGGGGCCTACTGTTTATCAGTATAGTGGGCCAAGTGTCTTCATACAAGACATAAATACAGACATAGTAGCCTATTCAGAGCACAATTGACATCAGTTTTTGTGAGAGTTAAAAACTGGCAAGTGTTGAGTGTGCCTTTACAGCGTTAAGACTGTTATAATGGACAATCTTGCATGCAAAATAATATTTCACCGAGAAAACACGTAGTTAAACTGGCCTTCTGTGTTAAAGTTTTAAGGCTTTAAACCTTGCTGTTGGATGATCTCATTGGAAGAAAAACCCCTACAACTAACTTCGTTGTTGAAGAAGAAGGCCTGTGATTGGCTGATGAAATGGGGGGCGGGACTTTATGCCTCTGTCTGAAAGACTGAATCGCCTATGAGTCGCCATTGAGAGAGAAAACATTTGATATTGTGGAATTTGTACAGCGAGGGGAAACAACGTTTCACCACACAGCTAGATACAGGAGAAACGACGGCGCAGCTGAATAGATATTTAGCTCGTTTTCTTGGTTCCGTGGGGATAGACAGGCTTGGTTAGGAGAGGCAGCCGTTCTGAGACTTGCCTCTGTTGTCGCTGCTCAAGCTGCTAACGTTACTTTTGCCAGCTCTTTGTGTCGACATGGTTTGTTTTTGTTGACGGAAGCCTCTCCTAGCTTTGGCTGGGACCCTTTGGGTAGATGTTTAAGTGTCAGAAATCGGCCTTTAGTGACAAAATACACGAGTGACAACAGCATAGACGACACGGTGAGTTAGTTGGGATCCAAAATCCGAAGTGAACATCAAGGTGTTTGGAGAGAGGAGATGGGCAACTGTCTGAAATCTCCCACTTCGGATGATATCTCTTTGCTCCACGAATCGCAGTCAGACAGAGCTAGTTTTGGCGACGGCACTGATCCGGAGCAGGAACCGCCACCGCCTTACCAGGTAAGAGCCTTCAGAAATTCATCATAAAAGTCAGGGTTTCTTTTAAATACAGCGACACGGCGTATGGTTAGTTAACGCACCTCTTTGTTCCTTAGCTACATACAACTCAGACGAGTTCGGGAGGGACGAGTATCGTTAGCCTGTTTATGAAGAGAGACCTTTTTGTGTATGTATATTTCCACAGCACAAATGTTCGTCTAAAGCCACGAAGAAACGTTTTAGTTACCTGCCTTAACCGTTGGCCTCACGTATGCTAGCTGTGTTGTCGAGCTTTATCCAAAACTCTCTGTGTGTTGTGTGGTCCAAATAGCCTAGCTTACTCAATGCTCTTTGTCTTGTGTTTTTACTGGACGGACAGTGTCTGAAACCTGACATGCTGTTTACAGACAGGCCGTTAAACCGTACGATGCCAAATGCTTCATCATATCAGCCGTTTTCCTTATCGACTGAGCAGCCTTTTACACACCAAAGGATGTTCTTGCGCCGTCATGGATGGGTTTTATAGTGTGTTTGGAGTGCAGTAGGTTTCTACACATCTTCGGTATCGATGTGGGTCACTTTTTTCTTTCGGTTTTACGCCACTTTAGCATTAGACATGCGGAACTGGCTCCATCAGTACACTTAAGCATCTGTCTAGTCTTGATATTAACACACAGAGTAGACTGGAATGGTTTATCATTGAGATATTTGTTCTTATTGTGTCATGTAACAGTATTAAGGATAACCAAGATTTCTGAGGTTTTAAGGTTATGTGTTTTGAGAAGCAGTGTACAGCAGGTCCGTCATTTCTTTACAGACTCATTAATTTCAGAAGAGGTTGATGTGGATTTTTATGCTATTTTGTCTTTGAGGTACTTAACTGTGGTCATGAACATGTGAACCACTCCATCGTTGTCCTAATTTGTCACTGCTCAGTTTACTGTTTCCTCATACTGTGGAACTTCACTGAGAATAAAACTCCCCAAATAGAAGTTACATCATTGGAAAATTCATAGCAAAGCCTGCACTTTTTAGTTATTCAAGGTCCTGAGGGCTGCTACAAGTAAAGTTAACCTTGTGGCCTGTAATATTTTTATAAGAATAATAAGCAAGTGCATTACTCCTTGTGTTATCTACTCTCTTCTAGCTTGATACCCCAGTGCAATGCTCTGGCCTGGTACTGACAAGTAATGTTGGACTGCTTTCATGGACGGGGATTAATCCTAGATTTGGCCTCACTGCAGTGTTTCACCATTATGCTTAAACTGGGCCATTGAGTTCTTTCATGTTTTGTTTAAAGTTGTACTTTGAAGAGACTGATTTGATTGAGAGAAGCTGATTCTTGAAGCTTTAGAGTTCAGTTTGAGTCCTGTAATGTTGCAGCATTTTTGCCTCCAGCTCTGCAGACATGCAGACATTTGCACAGTGTTCTGATGGAGGATAAGATGAGACAGATAGTGTTCCCACTCTTTTCAGTACTGAAGTTCTCAGAGCAGGAGTTACAGATTCTCTTTGACAGTTTCTTCTGTCAGTATACAATCTCCTACAACGTTTGAAGAAGTGCATAACTAATAAATAGTCTCTCTCTCCATCTCTGTCTCTTTCTTTTTATCCCTCTCTCCTGCTTGTTCCTTCTTTTTCTCCCTCTCTTTCTCTCTCTTTCTACCTCTCTGTTTCTCATCGGGTGGGTGTTTTTCTGGACTCGGCACTTTTCTGCTTAGCACAGGCAGAATTCCCCTAGGCTGCTCTGTATTGCTGTGGAGTTCTTTAGTCTCTGGGGTGCAAGATCAGACAGGGGTGTAAAAACAGAGAACTAGACAGTGGAGGAGCCTTTTTTTTTTCAGCCCAGTCTCAGAGACCGGGGCTGCTGCTTCATGCAGTATCCTGACAGCCCTGTGCAGCTGAGGCTATTGTTGGCTGGCTGTTTGGAGGTGTGTTTGGACTGTGTGGAGCAGACAAAGAGAGAGCCCGGGCCAACTTTAGAACCCAAATCATTTTCAATCTCAGCGCATTCCTGTGCTGCCTGCCAAGAATGCTCAATGTGTTTCTCTCTTTCTTTTTTTTTCTCCTCTCCCTTTTCTGGAAAGTGGAGAGCTGTAGACAGACACTGTTTTCTCAGCTACTGCAGTAGAAATCTGTAGCTTTTTAGTTTAATTCTTAAGAACTTTTTCCGCGTAAAAGGTATAGCCCAGTGTTTACAACCTAATTTTTGTCTGCTCCATACGATCAGTTATGACAGACAGTAATTTTGACTCCTGAATTTCCCTTCTCTTAGAAAAGAACAAAAATTTGCTGACAAACATGCTCATAATAGAAGCCAGTGGGCAGCTGCTTCAGGAAAACATGGTGCTGCAGGTTTTGTAGCTTGTGTTAGCTCTGATTTCATTTTTTTGGTCTTTTAAATGACTTATTCACTTATTTGTGGGAAGCCCCTCTTCTGTATGCCACAACAAACACCTTTGTCTAGTAAAATGTGCTATTATTGCTGTAAAAAGCCTACACCCTCAGCAGTGAAATCCCAGTCTATTGTTACTTTGTGACACATACGTTTCAGGCCCATGCTCTCACCCACATGCCCAGAACTGCCAGCCAATGGGTCTTTTGTGTGCTGCCGGTTGGAATAGGACATCCTAGCGGCTGCTTAGCAGTTGGCAATGCGTGTTTGAAAATGGAGGTGGGAGGCCCTTGGAGAAGACCCCTGGGCTCTTTTCCAGCCTCAAGCACAGACACATGTCCCAGGAAAGACCACAGGTAGCAGGATAAGAAGGAGCCTGTGTTTGTTGTCGATTTCTTATCAGAGCTGTCATGCTTCCTGAATCATGTAGCTGCTGTGTTTGCAACATGAACAGTGTTGTAATAAGCTCAGTGCACAGTCCGCTGGCTTTACACCAGTTCCACTGAAGCCTCAGATGAACGATAAGAAGCTGCGGGGCGAGTGTTCTCTTTATGCTGATGTGACGAGTAGGCCTAGAGTGATGACGCGATCAGTAAAATGATTAAAATCAGAGGTTTTTTTGATAATGATAATGTACGCTTAACGTATTATCAACAAAATGGTTATCGACAAAATGTTCTGTCCCTCAGACTTGAACTTTAATCAGTTACTTCTTTAGAACACAAGCCGTTGATGTCTGCCTTTAGCTCGCTAGACAGGAAGGGAGAATTGTAAACATGCACTTGTGAAACCTCAAATGAGAATGTTACGACACCATGATGTGACACCATTCTCAAGCCCCATCTTGCTTGTGGTCCGTTCCACCACTCTTATGTCTCTCTTGACTCATGTCCAAAAGAAAGACCGCAGATTTTGAAAAATTGTGAATGGTTAAGAGTAGGGATGCATCAAAATTTCGCCTACTGACACATTTCTGCCGAATATGGTCAAAAATGTTACTTTCAGTTTTTGGCCGTAAATTTTGGCAGAAAAAATGGGGGAAAAAAGTGTCATTTTGTTAACAAATAATTTCAATGATAATAAAAACGAGAAGCAATGATTAAATTTTTTTTTTCTCCCCTTCGTTCTCCTGCATTGGTCAACTGACTTTCCTGCACTAGTCAGCTGTTGACTGCTTATAACGTTTTTCGCAGCAGCACATAAACAGTGGATAAAGTCGGCCGCATGGACCTATTTTGTGGTTTCTGGGAGGGACATTAGACAAGTGCTTTATGTCGAGTTTCAAGAGAGGGTATGATGCCCTAGAACTTTGCTACAAGTTTGATACCACCAAACATGACATCCTGCTCAATATGCAGAACACAGCAAAACGAAAAGGAAAGCAAAGGAAGCTGCTAGCTTGCTGATGCCGTCTGTAGCCACGGGTTTTGAAATGACAAACATAAAATCGCAAACGACATTGCCAAAGTAAAAAGTATTACTAACAAAAATTGTATTCCCTTGGGTGACCAGCGGTTCTCTGTTGTCAAGAATGTTAGTAATTTTAGTAAATGTATTTTATGCAAACGTTTTTTATTTATTGTCAACTCAGTTTTGTCTTCTTCAAAACAGATTTTTATTAAGTTTTATTAAAATTTTGGGGTGGGGTATGTCTTCTCTGAAGTCTGTTTTGAAATGTCCTGTTTCAGCTGATGTTTGAGAGCTTAGACATCCTTTTACACAGGTGTTTTTCCTGAGACCAGAAGCTGCTTTATCTGAAACCGGATGCTGTGCTCTGAGGATGGGCTAAAATGTACACTATAGAATAGGCAGCTTTTTATACAGGCATGTTATCAGTACAGAGTGTGTTCAACCAGCGCAGCTCAACAGCTGCGTTTACAGAACAATCTATGCTAGGTATAATAAATATGTTTTTATTGTAGATTTTCAATTCGCCCAACATGTTTAAGACTTCAGTTTTGTTCATATGTGAGAATACTACTGTCTTCCTTAGGGCTGGGTATTGTTAACAATTTCACAATACAATACATATCACGATAGAAGTAACAATATGATTCAATACAATGACAAAATGCACCAGATGTAAAACCCCTTCAAATTTGTTCTAAAACCACAGTGATAATAAATACATTATCTACTGTGTCACAAATCACATACAGCACAGTATAATCATCTCTTTAGAATTTAACATGAAGCCGCTCTACAAAGGTATTCCAAAAATGCTAACGGCTAGGAGCTAATCACAAACCGATACCTCACCAAAACCGTGAACTAAACCACGTCTGTGAAAGTGAAACTAACTCAAGTACACGATGAACAAGGATCACACAGGTCTTAACAACAGCAAGAAAAGATACTCACTTCACACACACAGACACACAACCGCAGACTATACACTAATGAATGTACTACACTCTGTACTCCATGTGCAACATGAAGGGACTGGAGTGGGACTGGACCAGAGCTCCTGTCATCCAACGCAGCTTTTTATACAAATAATAATAAATAAAGAGAAACCTGAACTATTAGCACATTTGCTAGTCGCTGGGTGCTGTAAATTTTGTGTTCTCAAACTTGAATGCAGTGTTTTTTTCACTCATGAATATACACACCATGTGGAAGTAAA